ATAAAAAGGTGTCATGTACTCAGCCAGTCAACATTCAAAACCAGTTTTGATAGGAAAATTGGAGAGAACCAGCCATTTATTGGACACGTCTGTAGGTTTATCGTAAATCCAGTTTCTTGTATTATATTTCATTTGTCTCCGTGGAAAAGTAATAGTACTACTGAGCTTAGGGTTAACTAGTTGTCTCATATAAAAAGGTGTCATGTACTCAGCCAGTCAACATTCAAAACCAGTTTTTGATAGGAACATCGGAGAGAACCGGCCATTTATTGGATACGTCTGTAGGTTTATCGTAAATCCAGTTTCTTGTATTATATTTCATTTGTCTCCGTGGAAAAGTAATAGTACTACTGAGCTTAGGGTTAACTAGTTGTCTCATATAAAAAGGTGTCATGTACTCAGCCAGTCAACATTCAAAACCAGTTTTTGATAGGAACATCGGAGAGAACCGGCCATTTATTGGATACGTCTGTAGGTTTATCGTAAATCCAGTTTCTTGTATTATATTTCATTTGACTCCGTGGAAAATTAATAGTACTACTGAGCTTAGGGTTAACTAGTTGTCTCATATAAAATGGTGTTCTGGATGTCATATAAAAGATGGGGAGTGACTATTTCTGTTTTCAAAAATCAATAAACATTTTCCAGCTTTTCATGGATTAAAATGATAACTTTTTCTAGAAATTTTACAGGACCGAGACGTATTTTTTAATGTAATTATTTTAAAAGTGTAATCCTTTAAGATTTTATATGAGAATTAATGACGTTTTAATAGTGGGAACAGATTGTCTAGGATCTTCCACAGTGTTAGTAGTGCTCAAACTTTTCAGGCTCCCATACAAATATTTGTTTAAACTTTTGAAGTACCACCTAAGCCTAATTTAAAAAAATACTAATAAAATGTAAAAAACCTTGTAGTAAAAATTAATATTTTTAATGCTTACCGATTAATGGTAAGGAAGTAATTTTTTTTTGTGTGCATACCTTAAGAATATCAAGTGCGAATTTTTTGTCAATTTCAACCGAGGTAAACACTGGCGAGGCTAAAAGTGTGTGTGGGGGGAGTACTGTGTGTGTACTCCGGAAGCCTAAATTAGACTTATTTAATTTAATTTTTTTTATATTAATTTGTTTTCACTCACTATCAACATTAGCACTAAGTATCATGGTTTGTTGAGTTTGATTAACTGAGTAAACAAACAAATGTTTAGAATATTGTACTGTGTTTATAGTCGATAGTTGTTTTAATGAACAGACTAATGAATCTTGTGCAGTGTAAATGAATTGGTACTGTGAGTGTTTGTTCCCAGGACACATTGTCCTCTTTGACCTGTAATCTGCGAATATGTTTTGCAGTTACAGAAATGAAATGTAAAGACAGTCACTTGTGCTACAATAATGCCCCTTGGTGGATCGTGTTGTGGTATGATGCCCTACAGTAGGCACAGCACAGACAGCTCATTTTGCTGCCTTGCGCTTAAACAAACACAAAGCATTCAAACAGAAAAAAAAAACATTTTTTTTTCACTGTCGAAAGCTTTCTAACTTCAAGTTCTTAGGTAGGGCTATTCTAGAACTAGGGTTAGCTTGTTGAAACCTTATTAACTTCTAGTTCCTAGGTAGGGCTATTCTATAACTAGGGTTAGCTTGTTGAAACCTTATTAACTTCAAATTCCTAGTTAGGGCTATTCTAGAACTAGGGTTAGCTTGTTGAAACCTTATTAACTTTAAATTCCTAGGTAGGGCTATTCTAGAACTAGGGTTAGATTGTTGAAACCTTATTAACTTCAAGTTCATAGGTAGGGCTATTCTAGAACTAAGGTTAGCTTGTTGAAACTTTATTAACTTCAAGTTCATAGGTAGGGCTATTCTAGAACTAGGGTTAGCTTGTTGAAACCTTATTAACTTCAAATTCCTAGGTAGGGCTATTCTAGAACTAGGGTTAGATTGTTGAAACCTTATTAACTTCAAGTTCATAGGTAGGGCTATTCTAGAACTAGGGTTAGATTGTTGAAACCTTATTAACTTCAAGTTCCTAGGTAGGGCTATTCTAGAACTAGGGTTAGCTTGTTGAAACCTTATTAACTTCAAGTTCCTAGGTAGGGCTATTCTAGAACTAGGGTTAGAATGTTGAAACTTTATTAACTTCAAGTTCATAGGTAGAACTACTGTACAACTACATAACATAATGTTTTAGGACAACATGGGACCTATTGATCTATCTTGGCTGTTCCATTCTCTAAACTAAACTAAAACTATTAATCAATGAATTAAAAAAAAAGAAAAATCTTAAAGTCAGCCCTTATCATTCATGTACTTATCAAGCTTTCTCTTAAACTCGCTTAAATTTACTACCTCCTCAATATCCAAAGGCAACCAATTCCTAAACCCAACTGCCCTGTTAGAAAAATAAAACTGTCTTAACTAAAGATGACTCCTACCTTGCCAAAATTTATAATTGTGTCCCCTAGTCTTACTATACTTATTGCTAAATATAAAAAAAAGATGATACATCAACACTATCAATTCCCTTTACAATCTTAAACACCTCAATCAGATCCACCCTAATTATTCTTTTTTCAAGAGAAAACAATTTGAGAGATTTCATCCTCTCCTGGTATGACAACCCCTCCATCCCAGGCAACATTCTAGTAACCCTCCTCTGAACCCTTTCCAACAATTCAATGTCTTTCCTAAGGTAAGGAGCCCAAGACTGAACACAATATTCCAAATGTGGCCTAACCAGTGACCTATACAATGAAAGTATAACCTCTTTAGACTTGTATTAAATATTTCTGTAGATACAACCTAAAATACTATTTGCTCTACCACTAGCAACAGCACACTGCTTGGATGGCTTTAGAAACTGATCAACTATTACACTAAGATCCCTTCATAACACTATTAGGGTTATTCCCATCCAAATTATACTTATAATTCAAATTATGATAACCCACATGCATTATCTTGCATTTATTATAATTAAAACTCATCTGCCATTTATTTGCTCAACTCACTAAATGGTCTAATTCCTTTTGTAAATCAGCAGCATCCCCTTCACAGCTAGCAACACCCAAGATCTTAATATCAAATGCGAATTTAAGTAATTTATTGACTATCCCTTCATCTATGTCACTGACGTAAATCAAAAAGAGCAAAGGTCCTAAGACTGAGCCCTGAGGTACCCCACTTGTGACATTAATCCAGTTTGGTTAAACTCCATTTATAACAACCCTCTGCTTTCTTCCATCCAGCCTATCTTCTATCCAATTTGCTAACTTATCCCCCACACCTATAGAGATAAATATTTTTACAAGCCTTTTATGTGGCACCTTATCAAATGCTTTCTGAAAATCCAGATACACCAAATCTATACCCTTATCCTCATCTACATAAGCAGTGACCTTTTCAAAGTATGTTAAAAGATTTGTAAGGCAAGATTTTCCCTTCGTGAAACCATGTTGTCCAATAAAATTCTAAACTTTGTTAAATGACTTTGCAAAGCATCTTTTAACAGATTTTCCAAAATTTTTCCCACAACTGATGTATAACTAATGGGTCTATAATTACTGGGACAATTTTTATCACCTCCCTTGAAAAGAGGAGTTACATTAGCTAACTTTCAATCCTCTGGTACCAGCCCACTATTCAAGGACTAGAAAAAAAAAATAGCAAGTGGCTTACATATCCAATCTCTAACCTCCTTCAAAACTCTTGAGGAAATATTATCTGGCCCAGGAGACTTATCATTTTTTAAACTTCCCAATTTTTTCTTAACCAGCTCAGAATTAATGCAGTCATCTTGTTTGATCTCGTTTCCATCTACCAATTGTTCAAGATGTGGAATATTGCTTAAATCTTTGTAGAACAAGGGTTAGTTTGTTGAAACTTTATTAACTTCAAGTTCATAGGTAGGACTATTCTAGTTCCTACAACTTAATAGATCTAGGGTTAGCTTGTCGAAACCTCATTAACTTCAAGTTCATGGGTAGGGCTACGTAGAACTAGGGTTACTTTGTAGAAATCGTATTAACTTCAAGTTGGTAGGTAGGATTATTCTAGTTTCTACAACTAAATAGAT